AGAGAGGTGCCCAGTGGAATAAGAACACATCAAGGCCATGAGTATTGAGCATCATGGGGTGGGGGACATAGTTGACATTTACTAGGAAGTGTGAACAGGAGGCTAAACTGAGGCCTAGACCATAATTTGAAGATTTGTTGGAGGAGAATGCCGCTTGTTGGTTCCCGGCCGCCTGGTTATCTTAGATCCAAAATAATCACACGGAAACTGTATTATTTAAATCATGGCTTGGCCCATTAACTCTAGATTCTTATTGACTAACTCTTACATATTCATTTGTATATTAATTTAACCCATCTCCATCAATCTGTGTATCACCACATGGCAGTGGCTTCCCAGCAAAGTTTTGGCATGTCTGACTCTGGTGGTAGCTCCATGGCATCTCTCTGACTCAGCCTTTCTTTCTCCCAACATTCAGCCTAGCTTTCCCTGCCTACCTAAGTTCTGCCTTGCTATAGGTCCAGAGCAGTTTCTTTATTCATTAATGGTAATCACAGCACACGGAGGGGACTCCCACATCAGAGATCTTGAGTATTTTCAGATTTGGGCTTTTCTCCAGAGAGGGCAAAAAATTAAAACAGAAGAGAGAAGTTAAATTCTGTGATGATGGCAAGAAATACCCATTTTTTCCTGTTACTACCATTATTTTTAATGCTTAAAATTTTGAATGCCAGCTGTGACTTTGTGTTTTTTTTCCTCTGTGCCTCCCCCATTTACACCTTTAGGGCTGTGTTTACCTATTGACAAACCCTCACAGTGTTTGCCCATTACTAATTTCAGCCAGAAGCTTCAGCTGTGGGTTCATACCCAGGACACTACTGTGGTTTGGAGGAGCCCCACCCCTCCCACAAAGGACTGTGTGTTAAGCCTAAGCCCCAAGTCCAGTGTTGTAGGTACTTTAGAACTGTAAGACTTAGTGAAAGGTCCTTAAGTCACTGGGGTGACTTTTCTGACCTTAGCCTATCTAAATCATTTTGTTTCCTGGCTCCTATCTTGAGCAGCTTACTCTGCCATGTACATATAAAATGTTCACTCGCTAGAGGAAAAAAAAAGCAAGAGGGGCCAGCAAGTCAATGACTCCTAAGCAACCTTGCCTCTTTAGAAAAAGATAAAGTGAGAACTAGGCCTATTGTCATCTATGGAAAATCTATTAAGTAATCCCCAATACTGTTTCAGCTGTCAGATGAGTGTATATACATTTATGAACATGTTTGAAATACTTTAGAAAAAGAAAAGAAGCTCATTGTCTCTGGTATTTTTTTATGTAAACCTAGCTAACATAGATATCATATAGCTGATACTTATAGCTTACTTTTAAAATTTTTAAAAACCTCCATGTTTTGGAGAGGCTCAGTTTTTCTTTGTGTGTGTGTGTGGGCACGTGCGCGTGTGTGAGCAAGAGCGCACGCATATGTGTGAATGTGTATGTATGTATGTATTTGGTTCTACCCAAACGTTTCTATAAAATGTCATTTTTCTAAGAAGCAGCAATATCTTTTTTGGATATTATTACTCCTTTGGAAGCCAATGATTTGTGTCGAAGGCAGCTCTGTCTATATTATTTACCCTGAGTGGAATGAGATTGACTGGAAGTTCTGCCTCCAAGGAAATAGCAAAGCTCTGATTCATACTCATTTGTAGTTTCCAAGTTAATTCTCTTATCAGATTTCCTTTTATTTCCTGCTGGGGCAATGTGAGCAAGATTGGATGGAGGCAAATATCTGCTGTATATCCTTTCAAATTTACGATTAAGAAGGTCACATATACATTTTTAAACAGACTCCTTTTTGATAATGAATGAAGAATAAAATTTTGAAATGTCATCAGCCACAAAATTATTCGTTTTTCTTTTCACTGGTATTCTTTTTGCCAGTTGATTGTCTGCTGATGACGAGAGAGGGCCAGGCTCAACCAAGCTGTATTTCTTGCCTTTCTTCTGACCACCTGGAGTAGTTTCAGTAGTGCACCATCTCTGCCTGTGACCAAACCATTAACGACCCCAAACAAAATGTGTTTCTTTCCTTGAGTGCAATTCCTTCCCCAGGCCAGTTTTTAAGAACAAATAAATGAAGAATTCCACTTTAGGCTACATTGATCTTCAAATTATGGCCAAATGAGGACTCTAAAAGCTCTTCTCTTCTCTGTTCAGATTCCCCATGTCTTTTCTCTGCCATGCTTTCTACTGCTGGACTGTGCTCTGCAGGGACTCCATCGGAGGGGTCCTGTGACACTTGTAGCTTTTAATTAGGTTCAGTTAATGAGAATTGCTATAGGAAGTCAGAGGATGGAGAAAGGGGAATTGGAGTATTGTGGCCTGTAATAATAGATAGATAGATAGATAGATAGATAGATAGATAGATAGATAGATAGATAGATAGATAGATAAATCTTGCCTACAGACCAGTGGTAAAGCTAAAGCCAATAGAGATCAGGCAATGGTGACACAAACCTTTAATCCCAGGATTTGGGAGACAGAGGCAAATGGATCTCTGTGAGTTCAAGGCTACCCTGAGCTACACGATATCAATGCAGAAATAAATCCAGGTAGTGGTGGCTCACACCTTTAATCCCAGTCCTAGGGAGTCACACACCCTTAATATCAGCACTAGAGGGAATATAAATAAGAGAAGAGAGAGGCTTAGTCTGCTTAATTTTGTAGTCATCTAGCCTTGGTGGAGGTAAGACTTCTCTAGTGGATTGGCTGCTTTGCTTATCTGGCTTTTGGGTTGAACCCCAATTTCTGTATATGGGATTTTATTATTTGTGCTACAGTGGCCAATGATTTCCTCTGTGTGCCCATCTAGATCTGACCAGGTCCTCTCTGTGTGCACATTTAGGACTGACCAGGTCTTCTCTGTGTGCTCATCTAGGGCTGACCAGATCCTACAAGAGAAAAGTTCTACCCATCCAGCTTACTCTTTTCAACTCTCTCCTTAAGGGTTCTGATTATGGCTTCCTCTGATTATCCCTCTGGGCTCCTAGGTGGAAAACCAGGTGTCTTGTCTCAATGCTATATCATCTTGCTGCCCCTATGACCTTTTTAATAGTCCTTTCATAAATAAATGTAAGTGGAGACTGCTCTTTCATTCCCAGCCACGCAGACCTCAATAATGACACAGAAAGTATATTAATTGCAATACTATTGGCCTATTAGCTCAGGATTCTTATTAACTAACTCTTACATTTTAAATTAACCCAACTCTATCAATCTGTGTATCATCACAAGGCTGTGACCTACCGTAAAGGTTCCAGTGTATCCTCCTTCAGCAGCTATATGCCGTCTGCCTCCTTCGGCAACTACAAGGCATCTCTTTGACTCCACCTACTCTCTTTATATATATTTTCCAGCATGGCTATATCCTGACTTGCCATAGACCAAAGAAGCTTCTTTATTAACCAATGGCAATAAAACATACTCACAGCATACATAGGGGAATCCCACATCAAATAAAGACTTCTGAAATTATATTCACTTAAAGGTACCATCTGTCATTCTATGTAGCTGTCAGTTGGGAGTTGGACACATATAAACTTTTCTAACATACTTTTCTATCCAGATTTATCGTTTTCTTTAGTGCTTCTTGTGGCAAGGAGATCATTAACTCTTGACATGACCTATCCATTTTTAGGAACATTGTTCCTATGTTACATTTAAAAATTAACCTCTTTAAGATGTCTGTTCTTTCTTCACTGAAACAAGAATAATAAAGACTAAGGTTCAAACCAAGTTCTGTGAAGACTGGAGCAATAGACTCAGAAAAATTTATCCTTAAAATTTTAGCCCATATATTTGTATCTCATAGGAACATGACAACTATATTTAGATGTATGTGTAAACCTGGAGGACCACATGCAAGAAGGGTCATCATATTTTTATCACTTATGAAATACTTAAGCCCCATCAGTTGAAATTTAAGTGAAATAGATTTTTTAATCCATAAGGGAAGAAGCCTTTGACCTTTTCATTCCCCAGTGAGGAATCAAAGTTGCTGTGACTTGATATAATTCAAAGACAGAATCCCACTGTGGGACTGCTGAGGAGGGCGCTGAGACATTAGAATATGGGTGGCTGAGTCAGCAAAGATTTAAAAGCAACCCCCATGTGCTCACTGTCCCCTAAGTGCCAGGCACTTTTCTCTGTGTGTTGTATGTGCTACCTCATTGAATCTGTGTGACTATATATGAGTTTCATCCCGCTATTTGGTGCAATGCGTAGACAAGTTCAGCATAGACAGAGATGAATAAGCCTGCCCCAGGCAGCAGAGGTAGGCTACGCACACATGCACATGTCTGCTTAGAGTCAAAGGAGGTGTAGCCTCAATGGTTGGTGTCAGGACAACTAGGGGACCTTGGTGGCAATCTACCGGTCCTGCATCTAGACTTCTGGGTGCTCTCTTACATCTTCGGGTGATTCGGATTCACACCAAACTTTTAGAAATGCTTCTCTACGGTACTGTTATTAGAAATGGCTCTCTGGTTCTCTGGGACTGCTGCTTCTATAAGAATGTTTATGAATCAAGCCCAACTTTGACTTTTCTTTTTTTGAGCTAAAAGACTAACCTTCACCCTCACCAACCACCAACCCCACTTCAGTCTCGGTTGCTTGGTGTAATTCAAAGAGAGATAGAATTCCACAGTGGAAATTTTGGAGGGGGAAGGTGTTTAGAGGAATGAAAATAGAGGGGCCAGTCTGAACTTTCTTCCCTCCAAAAAGAAAGTGGGGGAAGCATCATCATAGAGCCTCATTGATTTCTCAGTATGAGCTCAAATATATAACATGCTCATTGTTACGGATAAAACAACTACTCAATGAATATGATTTCTAGTTTCAGGAAGGCTTGTGTTTACTTGACCCTGACATTGGAGAGCTGCCTTGCCTCTGCTTATGTTGAATGAACTAAATATGGTGTTGAGAGTGGGGGATGGGGAAAGAGAACAGTCTACCTTCCCAGTCCTCTAATGCAACTAGAATCATCTGACTGTGATTTTTCCCTTGCACATGTCCCAAAGGAAGCTGGCTAAGAAGCAGAAGGAGACACAGAGCGGAACCCAGAGGGAGATGGGCCCCGTGGCCTCAGCTGACAAGCCCACCACCAAGCTCAGCACCAACCGCAATGATGAAGGCTTCTCCTCCAGTTCTCAGGATGTTAATGGATTCAGTAAGTCGAGTCAACTAAGATGAATGGAGTATCAGTGGTCACTTTTGTTCCTGATGCCTCTCCTGTGAACCACTCACAATGACTAAGTCCAGTAAACTGTGGGATCAGAATGCTTTCCTGGGATATCAGAGAGGAAGGGTCTTCTCCCTGACAAAACTTTGGAGTAGCCGGACCTGATGTAAAAAAAAAAAAAAAAAAAAAGAATATGGGACCAGGGAGGGGGTTCAGCCAACATGCCACATGAGCATGAAGTTTGGATCCCCAGTACCCAAAGAAAATGTTCTGGATGGCATGTGCCAATAAGCTCAACACTGGGGTGATGGAGACAGAAGGACTCTCTTGGGCTTGCTGGATAGCCAGTCTAGCCAAATCAGTGAGTTCCAAGTTCAGTGAGAAACCCTGCCTCGAGAAAGAAGGTAGGGAGTGATTGGAGTAGTTACGAGATACCAAATGTTGATGTGTGTATGTGTATCAAACTATATACACAAGCACACACATGCAAATACATGTGAGTGTACACATATACATAAACCACGTGTCCAAAAAAAGAGAAAAAGACAGAATCCATGCCTAAGCAGATGGAATGGGAACAAGTTATCTTAAATAGAGACAGGTAGTTAAAAATAATAATAGTGACAAAGAAGGAGGAGGATTGTGACCTTAAGGCAAAAAGCATACTATACTGAATTTAGTAGCTGACAATTTTTAAAACTATTTCACATTTACTTTGTAAGGTAGATGAGTCATGGAATGTTTCTCTCTGTGCCCCTAATATTTAAGAAACAATCTTTAAACTCCCAAGGTTGCTGAGTTCCATGTACCTACTGGAAGCTGTGCTTACTGAGTGCTAGATGGTTCTATTAGGTCAAGACTATCTTCATCTTCATGCAGAATTATTACGGCATCCTTGGCTAATATAAGTAGCTTAGGTTCCACAGGTGACTCATCCAAAGGAGGACTCCGAAACTGGGTAGTTATGAGCTGAGTTTGGTAGCCAGGTTTGAAAAAGCTGCCTTTTGTTCTGATCTTTCAACCATGCTATATAAGCTAGTTCTTTCCTGGATTTAATAATGTGATAATAATTTTCACTATATATCTTATACATTATAGACAAAAGGAACTGTATTTTGTAATGATCACTTTAGATATGCTCTGTCTGGAGGATGTGGAGTGATGAGAACATGAAAGAATAAAGGAAACCAATATATATATAATACATATATATATAAAATACATATATATATATATACACATATATATAGCCATCTTTGATGCAGACACTCTCATTTCCTCCATAATCCTACAAGATACTTAGTGTTGCAGACCCTATTTCATTGGTAAGATATGTTTGTCTCAGCTTCCCAGTACTACACAGATCATTTCTCATGGATTTAAGACCCCTAAACTGGTATGAAGCAAAAAAACTTGGAAGGTTTTCCAAACAAAATCTCCTTATGGATGAGACACAGGACAGAGACTCAAGGCTATGGATTTTATACCATCATCCAGGTAGTTCTTAGAGACACCCTTTAGGAACACAGCCTCAAGGAAGGCAATTATGATTTTCAAATATAGGTGTGCTGTCTTTGGGGGAAAAGGTTCGTCAAAACCTACCCTTTTCCCAAAAAGACTGAGGGAAAAGGGATACTCAAATTCTTTACCCGTATTAACCAACTGGTCACATTTTTCAATATTGGCATCTGGTTGCACTTTCTCTCACTAAACCCAGTCTTCTGAGATAATTAGAAATAAAGTTGAAGTTTTTGGAACATTCTACCTGTAGAGATTTGGGTATGTGAATTCCTAGGATGTAAAATGGCTCTTCAACACACCTCAATAAAATTAATCCTCATTAAGGAGTGTGACTTGATCCAATGATATCAAAGATGTTTATCTGCAATGTAAAAACTCTTGTATCCCCAGAAGATTCTGCTTCCTTCACTGTAGATCAGGATCCAGACAAGGAGCGCGTATTCCATTTGGTTTGTTCTCTCTGTCAGCCTTCCTATAGTCCCATGACTTTATTTTCTCAGGAATCTAACATTTTCCAAAGTCTGATGTGGTAGTTCCATAAAATGGTCTACAAGTCGGAGATCTCTAATTTACCATCAGATTCCATTTAGACCAATCCTATTGGGAAAAGATGGTGGCATTGTTTACTGCTCTAGACTTTATCAATAGCCACATGGTATCACTCTGCTCCATTGACAATGCCAAGTTTGAATGCCTCTTAAAGTTGGATAATGGCTTTTACAATAAAACTCTAAAAATATACTGATGCTCTTATTAACAGATATTTAATTTTTGCTTCTTCTTAGCGATAAGAGGCAATCTGTGATCTGCTTCATCCTGCACACAGCCCTTTCCACCCTTAATCTGGGTGAATTGCCTACATCATTTATTTCCTGGAGATTCAGAAAGAGTGGGCAAACAGAGAGCTAGAAAGGCACAGAGGAGCTGCCTAGGAAGTAGACGTAGCACATCCTTGAAGAAAGGTTGATCCCGAGTTGTCTCTGGCCCTTCTACTTTGAGCATTGCAAGTTTTTCTTGAAATTGGCCCTAGTGGTACTTACCCAGACCAAAACTCTCCTATATAGCCAAGCCTCATGTGCACACTTATTTTCTTGTTATGAAAGCATCCTGGAAAGGCATCAGATGCCGAAAGCTTATGGTCCAAGAAGCTTGACAATCACTATGACCCTGAAATTGCAGGTATTTAATCTCAAGCTTGCTAGTCACATGGGAAAACAACGTAGGTCACACTGATTTCTTGGATTTCAAAGAGATATATCACCACTGTTTGCACTGTGGACGAAAAGTTAGATCCTCAAGATAAAAATACTGAAGACTGGGTGGATTCTTCACTAAAGAGAAAGGAGAAGAACATTCAGTTGAAATCTGTCTGATGAGGCATTTTAAAGATCACGGATAGTCTTCCCAAACAATTCAATGTGTATGGTGTCCATATTTTATATTTGAATACACAAACATATATAAAGCCATGTGGGCTCCTATGTCCCTGTGTATACATCTTTAGTTTAATGATATTCCTTTTTAAAAAACAGGAAAAAAAAACAACTTTCAACTGACTGGTTATATTCAACTATTGTGAAATCTTGCATTTGTTATAATCACTGAATATTTTAGATTCTTTCTAGACATCTAGCATGCAGGGCTGCAGCTGTAAACACACTCTGGAGATTTTTTTTATTTTTCTGAATGCCCTAAAATGCATCAGGTAACTTTTAAAATGCCCTATGGAACCACTGGGATGAGATTTGAAGGGGAAAATGTAAGTAATGCTTACACTGGAGATGTAGAAATTGCTTCTAAAATCACCCTGATGTATGTAAAATTGAATCTATTTTCGTGACATTAGGGAAGTGGCTGTCTGGCTTCTGAATCGGCGTCTTTAGGAGCGACTGAGATTATGTGCAAAATTTTGAGGCAGCATTGAGAGAGGGAGGGCAGGAGAACGGTTGTTATATTGGGTAAAATTGTAGAAGGACATGCTTTGGGCAATTATTTCATTATTGAGCAGGTGGGCCCTAGCTTTATTCAAAATCTGCGTCATCCTGCTTAGGTCTGTTTTCTGGCCTTATCTATTACCAGTGACTGCTACATTTGGCAACATCTATTCAGTCAAGCCTCTCAATAGTGTATAGGAACAATGACCTCTGGAACAGCAGGGTGACAGGGCTCTGCCAGATAGGGGCTGATGTTTTGAGTGCTTAGGCATTCTTTTAAAAGCAGTGCATGGAACATTTCAAGGACAAACAATGCACGTTGTTTCCATTTAAAGAAAAGCTGGCTTTTATTAGGTAATCTGATTGTGATCTTGGCTGCCTTGAGTACTTGTAATTTTTTTTCCTGTGATCTTTAGCTCCCTGGGATTGTTTTCTGGGGCTTTCTTCAAGTACCTGCCTTATATATCATGCTTACCTCTGCCTCATCTCGTGTATTTGCATGCCTTCTCCGGGCTCATTTTCAGACTAAATAAAAAGCTTCAAAACAAATCACAGTTGTATCCCTCTAATGCGGGAGCTTAGCCATTCACCTTTCTTATAGTGCATTTGGGCATCCTTGTTCACTGGCTACCATTGACTGCACTCCCATGGAGCTAGAGTTAAAGGAAATAGTGAACCACCTGATGTGGGCACTGAGAACCAAACCCAGGTCCTTTGGAAGAGGAGCAAGCAAGAGCTTTTACCCACTGAGCCATCTCTTCAGATTCCAGATAAATATTTCTTCTACTGGTGCAACACATTCCAACAGTAAACCCTTATTTCCATGCCATAGATAATATAGGTTTTCTATGTTATCTATTCTTCATATGGGGAAACTGAGGGAAAGAGTACATGTGCTTTGACAGGTCATAATCAGGACACATTTTGCTTGTATCAGTTATAGCCTATCCACCCAGTTCTACCAAGAATTTAGGGAAATACCCAACAAGAGTACCCTTGATAAAAACAATATTAAAAATAAGATTAAAAAATTATAAATAAAAAGAATAAAGTCAAGTCAATGAAACATTATCATATAATTATTGAATCTAAATATGTAGGCTAGATTATATTAAAATCACCAGACATTAGACCATTAAGTGCACTGCTAAGTCAGGAGCAAGCTGAGAAAAGTAGCTATAAATTAGGAACACACCTCACGAATAAATATTTTTCAAAATGTACTTATCGCAGTATTTTTTATTTGTGGATGTAGATGTGTTTGTGTGTGCAGGTGCCTGCAAAAGTTACTAGCTTTTAAATAGCCATCTGTCCCTTGACTTCCTGGTAGCAAACACTGGAAGAAGGTAACTTGGAGGAGTACCTACTATGAACTGGATCTTTTGTATTTTGTAAATTATTATCAAACCTCCTCAGAAGTATGCGATTTCTATATTACCTTCATTTTGAAAATGAGGGCACCAGGTTTGGGGCGGCTAAAGTAAACAAGCCCAAAGTCACAGAGCACAGAAATAGTAGACTTAAGATTAGGAG